AGATTACAGTAATCTGCAGATAGCAGGTGCAATTCAACCAGGAAACCAAACATTGGATCATTAATAAATAATCCAAAGCAAACACATACACGCCTTCAAATACGCACAGCGGTCACGGTCCAACTGAATACATTTAATGATTTGAACTACGAGGCAGAGTAAAATCACCGATCACTCCCTCTTAAAGTAACCGTAAAAACCCGAGGCCCCATCGGGGAAAATCGAACGCATTCACAATAAATGACTAGCCGAGTAAACGCGAACTTTCCCACAGAGAGACGGCCCTCCAGGAAATGCTGCTCCCCGTGGGCGACACCGCTGAGAGGACGCGGGGCCACGAGGAACGAGGGTGGGGTCACTGGACGGAATGAGAGAGTGAATAACTGGCTGTCGTCGCCCGTTCAGGCGACGCGTCCAGCCCTCCATCTCCAACATCCGAGTTTGTCAACTTTTTGTGTGCGTGAGAAAAAAAGCGAGGGACAAAGAGGGAAAGAGAGGGAGCGAGTCCAGAAACCAACAATTACGAGGACAAAGAGGAGGCCCGGAGCCGGTGGAGGCTTGGCTCGCTCTCACCGGGCCGGTGGCCTCGCTGAATGGACTCATTCTTCTTATCAGCGCGGCCGCCGGAGCAGCAGCGGGAGGAGGAGGAGGAGGAGGAGGAGGAGGACGGGGAGGAGGTGAGGTTCTGTGCAGGTGACCGAGATAAGGGTGTTCCTGAGCCGTACGAGGAGAGCGGCGGGGCCTCCAATGGCACCACACCGCTCTGCTATCAACCCCCCCCCCCCTCCCCCCCCGCACGTCCCCTCCGCTATCAGCAGAAAATGCTCTCGTGCCGGTCGGCCGATGTCGTTACGACGGCACATGGCCGATTCTTTGCGCTCGTGTCACGCGGCACGACAACGTAAGAAGATCGGTCAAGTTTGTCAAGCTTTAGAGCTTATGAAGAACTTATTTACAGGTTTTTAAAAGAGGCTCACCAGCTACTCTCTGTCCCCGAGGGAAGGTGCATGAAAGGTTCCGTCCAATTCTCCCGAACCCCGACAGACCAGTATGAGCTACTGGTGCAGCAACACGAGGACGCGATGCCTCACATGGCTTCAACTGCAACAAAAGGTTTTGGTGATTTTACGTCAGCGATAACTCTCTCTAGATATGCAGGATACACATTAACAACCGCGTTCGTCTTCTTCTCAGCAAACGGTTCTCTAACTCCACTTTTATTCCCCGCAGAGTCGCTCCGACATTTGATTTAAAAAACAATAAAAGATGCCACAAAGGGAGACGATTAATAGCAAAGCTTTCAGCTAATGGATCACGATTTAAAGAAGTTGTTTGGGTTTATTTAGTTTCTCTGCATGGGAAACCAAATAGAGTGCTTCCACTTAAATGGATATTTGCATTTTTACTTTGAGTATTGACATATTTTGTTGTCCCCATGGATTAACATGTAAAAACACTGCTGCTGGTGTTTGAGCCAAAGATCCTGTTGCAAACACAGAAATGACAGTTTGGGTTCATGGGTTCATTTTTAATGAAGTGATCACATTCTTCAAGAAGACAAATAATGACCAATATGATTTTCCAATTTCCCTTTAAATTAAACTGACTTTGGATGTAGCAAAGGGTCACACAGGGTCAGTGTTTGTTAATACTTCTTTGCAATACTTCCAAAGAAAGGAGTGTTGACTGACTTTTTTCTTAACAAATAAAGGAGGGTGTAATGAATTGAGTTTCCTCACATATGTCAGCGAAACACTCGACTTGAGAGGAGGGTGTTTACATAAAGTTGCAATGACGACCAAGAGCAGGAAATTACCACGGAAATTCGCTGTAGAAATGTTTACGCGAGGGCATTCTTCACCTGGTGCGACAAGCGCTGGGAGCCGAGTTTGAACTGATGACTTCTAGATGTGGGCACGAGGAGTTTTGCTACAGAAGCAGACATGAAACGAACGTGTCATTGATGTGTCATTGTTTAAAGAATGTGAGCGCAGCAGGAAACCACACGGGCCCGATGGCTGAAGGCCGCCAGACAACGCGTTCCGCTCCGGGAACAAAGCTGCATTTGCAGCTCCGATTCGTCCGCAAACGAAAAAAATTTCCGACACGTGGACCTCCCCACGCATCTGGTCCCTCCGACAGCTCACACGTCCCTACCAGAAGACGTGGTTGTTAAAGTACCATCGCACTGGTCACCTGCAACTTTGCATCTGAACAGCCGAGTAAGAGTTCTTGCTCTCGGGTGACACGGCGCCAGCTTGACGGACTCGACCGTGCGCCGCAGGAGGCGTCCATTCCCCCCCCCGGCGTCGCTCTCGCTGTTGTCTCTGTGGCGTGTCCCCTTAACACAAGTCACCTGCTTGCACACTCGATTACGCAGGAAGCCGCTGAGAAGCTTCGAGGGAAAAGTGTGCTGCGCTGACCGGGACTACGCGCTGATGGTGGAGATTAGCCCTGATTTGTTCGTCCCCTCTCCCCCACCCCTTCCTCTTGGAAGATCCATAAATTCATTTAAAACACGATTCGCCATCAGGGCGTCATGTGGTGCAATGTGGGGCTCGGGCAAAGTGTAAACTAACGCAAATCTGTTACGACCATCGAGGTTCCTGACCTCGCCGCAAGGCCGCGGCCCTGCAGGCCTCGTGTTTGTGAAAAGCATGTTTCGCGTGACGAAAACACGCATGTAAGCGGGGGCCACATGTGTGCTACATGATGGCAAACACCCAGCAGCAGACCTCCACTCGGGCCAGCTGTCACAACAAGCAAGTGAGACGAGAAGAGGACAAAGGCAGCACCGGTGGGACGATAGGACACGGGGAAAGGAAGCTGCAGCGAGATGCAGAGGGTGGAGGAGATCAAAGCTGTTACGGAGGATGTAGAAAGGACGTCTTTGGTTTTATTTGCACGTGCACACTGGTTAGTTTGTGCAGAGAATGTCATTCCAAACCCCTGAGCCCCAACAGTGAAGACTATAAAAAGGCCTATGAAGCTTTCGCTGCCTTCAGGGTTCTAAATATATAAGACCCTTTTTGAAAGATTCTGGTGAAGTTTTGTTTAATCATGTGTTTTAAATGAACTCTTAACAGCACTGTTATCTAACTAGCGACTGCTGATACAATCTGGTGGGACAGATTGCAGGTTGCCTCCATGGCTTCATCCGTCCGGCGGGATTGATATCTAGAAACCCATCGCGTCTTTTTGTGGAATTTCAGGGCTCAGGCTTTGTCCTGGGAACAAGAGATTACACGAAACAAAGCAAATACCAGCTTTTCTAGAAATATGACGGACAGCTCATCTGATAGGCAGCAGTTCCTCGTACTTCACAACCAAACAGAGCGGGTGACCTCATGGTTGGGAAGGAGTTTGCACAGTGACTGTTTTTTTTTTTTAACACTGTACAACACGTTATTGATTCAGAGCCAGACAGACATCGCTCTCAGTTCTATCGATGTTTTGTGGACGGTGGCTCAGGGTCCACTGGGGGACAAATCCAGCTCTTAGAGCACTGTGCTGCGAACACCAGTTCCCCAGAACGACCAGCTGACACCAACCCTTCACGAGGGGGAGACGCGGAGACTGTTGATTAAATCGGTGTCTCCTTTCCCATCGAGGGTTAACGAGGGAGGTGAGAAGTGGAGTGTCGCTCGCCTCTCACAGGAGGTGGATTGCACAAGACAATTAGGATCTGGAGCTGAGGATCGTCCCGCACCTCATCAGTCAGAGTCGCCTTCAACAGATTTGTCCGGCAGTTATTTTCACAAGTACTTACGAATCCACAAACCGGAGCTGCTGTTTCAGATCGTTCATACAATATTTCGGGCTATTTGCCTTCCAGCTTGTCGAAAGAAAACATCAGGAATTCACACTTATTTCATAGATTTCTCCTAAATTCACCAAATGTGAGGATAAGATCGTGAGAATAACAAACGACAAAAATAATGAAATGATCTGGCATTGCGTTTGTCATATTTTTTTATTAATTTTTAGTAGACACAGTTTTTATTAATAAAAATAATAATATACAATACATTGTAGCACAGGAACTTTGATTGTAATGTTGCAATTGTTTAATTTGTTTCATATAAGATTAAACTACCAACAGGGAATATTTGCAATACAATGAACACAATTTCACACTTTGGTTTATTTACATCTGAAACAAACCCTATATTACAAGTTAACTATTGAGTATAGAGGTTCTGGAAGGAGGATTAGGTCACATTTGGACCGAGGCTAGCTGTTTCCACCTGTTTCCAGTCTTTATGCTAAGCTAAGCCAACCCTCTTGAATGACGTGAATGAGAACGGCATTTCCCTTTTTCTTAAACCCCCTTCAACAAAGTAAATAAGCTTATAAAATAAAATGTGAAACCATCTCTTCACTAAAGCATCAACACTGCATGTTGCAGACTCACAGCCACATGTTGTGTGTGGGTGTTTGCAAAGATGCATTTCTAATGAATGACCACCGAAAGATGAATATCGAGTTCAACAAAGTAGATACGCTTTTTTTCAAAATGTGAAACCACCTCTTTGCCAAAGCATCATCATCGCATGTTGCAGACTCACAGGTGCACAGGAAGATTGATAACATCTCATTTCTAATGAATGGCTTCACTAAAAGATGAATATCGAGTAACTTTAACTACCATCCCCCCTACTGGGGTCCCTGAAGGCACCAGAGGCTGACCGGTGCTTTGTCATTCAACTGGTTCCTAATGGCTCCATATCATTGATTCCTGATTCTGTTTGGACTGTGTTGTTTTTAATAATGCATCATTAATTGGGATTCGGGTGACCTCCGTTTGCAGCTGTGACAGTTTTAATAGATCAAATATAATAGAAAGAGAAAATGTTTTGCATGGGCTCTAATTTTCAGTGACACGTTTGAAGGAAAAGACACACATTTCCTCGTGTGCTCGCTCAATTTGTGTTTGATGATGTATTTCTGAGTATATGTCTGACTCAAGTAATATGGATGAATCACGCAGAGACACTTAAAACTTTTTAGTTGTAAAATATATTTATTTCACTAGTAAAACACCCACTACAGAAATAGAATGACACCCAACAACAATCATAGGACACAATAACAAATATTGGCATTAGGCGCTTGTTTTTTGTTGTCCTTTTAATGTTAATAACAATCTTTCCATATAGCGTCAGAAATGCACGGGGGTCCAACACCAGAGGCCTTCGGGACCTCTGATGGTCTTTTGTCGGGCCTGACAGCAGGCGGCCACTATAATCTCATCCATTGGCAGCTCCTTTTCTTCCCTGGCCGGGTAATTTATTCCTTGGCTTTGTGTATTAGCCACTATGGCTTCGCCCACGAGGCGATTGTGCGTTTTTAGCTTCAGCACGCTGTGATTTCAGAACAACACACGGAGGGGTTTCTTTTAAACACATTTCCTATAGAGAAAAAAAAAAGCGCATTCCTTTCTATTGCTATTTCACCAGGGCATCGAAATGCAGCCGAGCTTCTGGTTACCAAACCTAATGTAGGAATCACTTAAGACTTGCATAAGCTTTCAGGTTAAACAAAGAGAGAAAAAAAACACAGGAGGACAAACCCATGAACCATTTTAAGATACAAAATACGAGCAATGAGCCCTTGTCATGATGTCGGGTATCAAACAGCAGCAGCCTGTCCTCGTGTCCTTGGCCGCTGTGGAATCGATAAGCAGGTCAGCGCCTATAGGCGTCACGTCTGCACGAGGCTGAGCGTGCCGTGTTGCGTGTGTGTGTGCGCCAGAGGGGGGAGGGGGGGGGGGGGTTCTGCGTCAATCGCTCGTGATGGAGGCGGCTGCAGCGTTTGGTTAAGCTGCTGCGATGCGAAGGGCTGCCAGTGAGACCGAGATTACAGACAGACTGCGTGTGTCTGTTTTTATCTGCACCTCACCCTCCCCGCAGATGGTGAAGTAGTCTCATCCTCCCCTCCCTGCCTACGTTGTGCGTTCTGCTTCCTGCTGGCACCATTTTGACTTTAACGCTTCCTTGTTGTTGTTGTTTTTGCGGTATATCTCTGAAAACATTGGCACCAAAACGCTGAATCCTAGAAAACGGGCCATCTTGAAATCACGACGGGGAGTCTTTGCCGGCTCATAATTTACTGCTCAATCTCGCCGTTGGAATGGCCGGCGTTTAAAGCAACAGGCCACAGGAATTTTATTTATTTTTAAAAAGTTGGTTTGTGGCAAAGGAAGCTGACAGAAGAAAGCGGGGGTGGGGGGAGAGGGTGTAACGGGCCACCGGGCAGAACTTCATTTCTTGAAGGAAGCGCGGACGGAGCGACCCTTGAGCGGCTGGGGGGGTCGGTAGTTGTCCACCATGCAGCACTCGGCCTCGCCCTCAGCGGAGAAGAGCAGCTCGCGGAATTTCTTCATCTGTGAAAAGAAGACGTTCGCGTCAGTCATGACGCCGACCCGCCCGCTCGGTGGTGATCAGGGTGCTTTCTCGGCGAGAGTTCGGGGGAGAAGATCGATAGCACTCATGTACTAAATATGAAGCTGCAGCTGGCGGTCGGTTAGCTTAGCATTAGCAGGAGGAAGCAGCTCCGCCTTCCTCACCTTACGTGTCCTCATGCTAAACTCAAGCTAGCCGGATGCTAACTGTAGCGTGTAAAAAGAAAATCCCCCATGGAGGACTTAATTCCTGATCATATTTTACCAAAAGGAGTGCTTTCATACAAAAATGAACAAGATAACTGTGTGTAAACGTCATATTTACTGTAGAGACAGGAAAGAAGTATTGAGCCTCTCACCAAACGCTCCAAAAAAACAAATAAGCGAATTCCCAAAAGACTCAAAAGTCAGACACGGTTAAAAGGAACCAGTCAACTTTCCCCGGCAGGGGGTCTGAGGAGCTATTTCAAAGGAGTCATCATTAACTCAGGCTAATGAATATGTCCATCGGAAGGACACCGCTTCAATCATTCATTATCTGCTTGAGCTGATGTTAATGGTTCCAAGTCTAAAGGTCGTATCAACACGTCTCACGTGTTGAGACACCTACTAAATAAATAAAAAATAAACATTAGAGCATAAAGGCGTTGTTATTTCTCACTCGACCTAAAGACTCCAACCACAAAGACAGACCTGCCCAATGGAGACTGTGAATTTAGATTAACGGGTGGTGAGAAGTCAAACATCCATTTCAGTGCTTGGATTACAGGTCATTTAAAAAGGAGTAAATACTCGATGTGTACTTCGGTTGCTCTTGATGAAATCCCCCATTGACTGAAGCTATAATGCAGAATAATGTGTTGGGTGCTCGGTTCCTGTTGACTCCCACACAGTGAAAAGAGAAACACGGTGGTGGAGAACCAGGGTCTGTGTGAACTCTTGTTCGCCCTTGTTCTCTCGCGTGGTTTTGTTCTTTTTCTTCTCATTCTGAAAGTGCCGTGTTGCCTTTCCTCCCCATTACAAAGGCTTCTTCTTCCCCTTTTTTGGTGCCGCTCAGCTGACCTGAACGAGCGAGCCGTGGATCTGGATCTGAGTGTGAGAGAGGATTTGTTCTAGACCACGGGGGGGGGGGGGGGGGGGCACTCAGCCATGGCACCTGCGGCCTCATACCTGCTCGCGGCTGACGCTGATTGGCTCCTTGCAGACAATCCAGGTGACGCTCTCCAGCAGAGGGGGCGTGGTCAGGGAGCCGTCATAGGTCCAGTAGTCCAGGCAAGCAGGGAGCAAGGTGGAAGGGTCGAAGTCAGCGAAAGAGGTCTGCTTGCCCTGAGAACAGTGAAGGGAAGCGGAGGACACGTCAGTGGGATTGTCATAAATCATTCAATTCCAGAGAACGTGTACTTATGGACGCCTACTTTGGCCTTGATGGCGCTGAAGGTGTTGAGGACCTCCTGGAGACTGGCGTTTGCACCACCGATCTGAAAAGCAGGAATTCACTCATGAACTTGATGATGTGTGCATTGCGTAGGCTACAAGTACGCACCGTGCTGGCTACGCTGTTACTGACCTCCAGGAAGACTCCAACCACAGCCAGCCCATCGGGCTTGCTCGCAGCCTCACCAAAACTTGCGTATTTGGTGTTCCAGTGAACCAGATGGAGCTGCGAATAAAGGGAAAACAAATAAACTACAAGACCAAATCACGTCAAACGTCATTTTATCTTAACAGTGGAGATCCTGTCATAACCTTCAGTGCCGAAAGGCCGATGGAAGTTTTATTTTGCTTCAAAAGACTCTTTTTTTAAACAACAATTTGGCTACAGTAACGATTACTGTCCGGCTCAACCTGTCTGAGCATCACTGTGATCAGCGCGGCTCCGCGGCTCCGTACCTCAGCAGGGTACTTGGTCCCGTTCACGGTGTGTTCGGAGCCCTTGTCGTCAGATGCTCCCCAGTGAAAGTGAAACTGCTTGAGCCTGTAGATCCCTGAGACGGGGCCGTCTTTCAGCGCTGCGGGACAAAACACACACACCACCCGTCAGGTCATCCCCCACTGAACCTGCAGGCGGCCCGACGACACTGGCTTTAAGTTGACCTTTCTGAGCAAAACATGTGAAAAGATTAGGTTAAAAAGATAAAAAGAAATGAATGTATATATATATATATATATATATATATATAAATGAGTTCATTATAGAATCACAGTGGCCAACTTCTTATTTCATAAAAGGAGACTCAGATCCTGTTGATAATATCAGGTCAAATACATTCATCCCTAAATGAAGTCCGGGTTTTGTCAAATCTCCACCCGATGTTACATAATGCATCTATTTGCAGCAAATACTCCTTAGTATTGTTCTACTGCTGGTGCTCTGTTGGAAACACACACACACACACACACACTCCAGACAGCATCAGTTTCATAGTCGGCCTCAAATGAATGAGAATTAATCATCAACACATCTGAGGTTGTGCGGGAGTTAAAGTGTCTCCTGGAAAGTATAAATAAACAGTTATTCATCGCTTCCACTGTGCACACGCATGATGCGTGATATGATGCGTGATATGATGCATGACGATGACCCGCAGACTTGTTGTCCTTTATTTAGCAAAGCAGGGCGGAGAATGAGGCATGTGGAATAAGAATTAAGTCTCTCGTCTAAGCAGACGGTGCTTTTGTGTTTTTTTCCCCATGCATATCCACCAGAGATAATCCATGATTATTTTCGTTGTGCAATAATATTCGTCATCATCCTTCAGATCAGATCAGCCTGAAGGACAACCAATCAAAAAGCCTCCTAATCTAAAATCCCCGTTCTTGTTTCTTTGCGGAATAAAATCGAAATGCAATTAACAAAAACGAAGCAACGTGAACAACCCTGCGTATCTCCATATTCTCCCGTTAATGCGCATATTCTGCGCATTAACGGACAACCAGGTCAACGTCTGTTTGTAGAGGAACCTTCGATTTTGCGCTTTTGACCTCACAAAAGCGCAAAATCGCTGAAGAAAAGAGTCGGCGTGGGAACATGTTTGCTCGGGGTTACATTACCAATTCAATTAGTTTTCTGCATGCCTTGTGTTCAGGTTGCGAATTGGAGCCCCTGCAGCCTAATCACCTAAAGTATGTCAAATCCAACTCAATGAAAATCAAATAGATACAAATAAATATAAATCCGTCCGTTTGATCAAATCACGGCGCATTCCACATTAACATATATTAACATGCGTGACCTTCTTCTCCTTCTTGAATGTAAGAGCTGCTGTTTACACACAAACCAAAATGACGCATTGTGCAGGTTACTGCGTCCTATAAATCATTGTCTTTGTTTGAGTACCATTCGCCCCGCATCCCCTATATGCCGCAAATAACACCTCAATAATAATAATAAAAATAATGGTATGACACATTGTAAATGTTTCGATGTGTGCAGGTTGAGGCGCTCGGGGCTGCGCGGAGCGTTCATGCATTATTAACGCCGCACTAACTTGAGCTGTCGGTGTCATCGGCGAAGGTCACTTGGAAGGAATGTCCGTTGTTGAGGATCTCCAGGCAGGTGGAGGGGTCGTACTTCAGCCGCAGCGGCTTCAGCGCCGCGTCGTAGGATGAGGCGTCAGGTGCGATGTCAATGGGAGACTGGCGGGGTCCATTGGCAATAGGGAAGTTATCAGCCCATTTGTCGGGTCCTAAAATGAGACAATGACAATTTTAATGTTAGTATTCTACTTGAAATGTGCTTTTCTTTTTTTTAATGACACATATTGGGGGTGGTGACGCGCGTAAAAGCCCCCACCCGCATGTACGGAATGAAAAATCTCTGCAGTGGCCGCTGCATTCCCATTAATTGTCACTGGAATGGCTCGTTTTAACACCCCCCCCCAATAGCAATATAAGTAGCGTTATATCCTGTACGTGCGGTCAGCGCCTCACCGTTGTTCGCTGCGTATCCCCAAGCGTGAGACATTGCTATAGAGTTTGGATCAACGGGTACCTAGAGCTGTAATTCCCTAAAGCGGGTCGTCCCCAAAGCAGCCAGTGTCCTCCACCTGACAGCTGCAGACCTTTTATAGGGTCCCATGTGAGCGGTGTGTGTGTCGGGCTGGTGCGAGCCACATGATGTCCGCGCAATGACCGGGCGGAGTTTGGATGCGCCGCAGCGTTGCAACACTGAGGATCGATGGGTATCTCTCTCCCCTCCCCCCCACTACCCCCCCTTTCTCTCCCCCCCTACAAGGTACATAGCCCTCGAATAGTCATATGTAAATTATAATTTAAATACGCGCAGGTGTTGCTTGGAGAGAGAATATCTCATAAGGAACAAACTTGGTATCTTAATAACAGTCATGCAATTGTAACAATTGAAACAGTATTTGTATTTCTATAACATGGTTGCATTTGGATTTTTATCTTAAGACACAGATTTTCAAGTGAATCTTCCAGCTACTAAAACAATAAGACGTACGATTTACACGTTTAATACAAATACAAGTAATGTGTAACTATTTCCGTACGAGGACGGTTATTTGGATGGTTCTTGCAGAGCTCAGAACGACGTCACACCGGAGACCGACTGCACATCATTTCTTATTTATTTATTTATTTATCAGCGATGTGCAGCAAAAAGCCCATCCGCACTGATAAAGGATCAATGGGCACATTGTAATCAAGTATTACTGGACTCCAACACGCATCAAGTATGTAGAAACAGAAACGATTAAAAGGTGATGAATTGCTCTTCGTGAGGGATCTTTTCATCCTTCTATTGATGACGTCTCTTCCCAAAGTCCGATTGACAGCTTGATTGCTGCCTGGCGGCCGGTAGCTGCGCGTGCAACGACAGCTCCGTTGATCGGGAAGTCCTCCGCAGTAACGGCTTTATGGCGCCACCTGCTGGTGGCCAAAGAGAACACCGGGTCTCTGATGCCTCCTTTCCTTTCACCTCCTCTGAATATACATTATTATTCTGTATTATACCATTTAAGTCAGCATATCTTTGGAGTGGGGTTTAGTGTTTATGACAGAAGTGTTTTTATTTAATATGGTTACTTTATAGCACCACTGACAAGTTCAGTACACTGCTGTATATTTATACTATATCTGTATGCTGGTAAGGTCTCCCTCCAAAATGCTGTTTAATGTGATGCAACTTTGATGAGTGAGGATGCCACAAGTCGGGTGGGATTATGCATTGGCTTTAATCATGTAACCGTCTCATATTCTGGCCTCACACACACACACACACACACACGTGTGTCATTGCTGCGTTTGTCCAGTTAACTCCATATTGGTCAGGTTGCAGTTGAATTCCGTCTGCACCCTGATAGGTTGGAGGCCTGGGTCCGTGCCCTCGTACGAGGCCTCCTGAGCGTCCTCCCCGTCGATGCAGATCCCCTGCTTCTCGATGGTGTAGTTGAGCACGGCGAACGGAGCCACGGGGGACTTGGCTATCAGTATCTGTCTCCGGCGCGAGTCCGCGTACTGGACAATGAGGCGCGTGTTGACGCTGTGACTCCACGTGTTCCCCAGGGCGGCGGTGACGTACCCGGTGTTCCCCTCCGGCCCTTGACCCCCCACGTGAGTCGTGACCTGGTTGGTGAGAACCACGGGTATGTTGAACTGGTGGGCCAGGTACTTGAGGGTGGAGGCCTCGTGGCTCAGCATGTCGCTGCGGCGCATCAGGTTGCCCGGCAACGTCGTGTCAAACTCCTTCCTCACCACAGAGGCCACGGAGTCCAGGATGAGGAGACCCGCTCCCGTTGAGATGATGTCCTCCTCCAGTCTGTCCAGCCTGTTCAGGACGTTTCGACAGGTGAGCTCCCTGAAGAGGTGCACCCGCCCGGCCATCTGCAGGACTCTCTCCTTGCAGCTGAAGCGGTCTGGGAAGCGGCTGCGCGCGATCTCCACCAGCCTCTCGGCGGAGAACGCGGCCTCGGTGTCTATGTAGATCACGCCGCCGCCCAGGCCGCCCTCGCTCTCCGGCAGCGTGGCCAAGACGCTCAGCATCAGGCACATCTGCGTCTTCCCGCAGCCGGAGGGGCCCGTCACCTCCGTGAGGCTCCCCCGGGGCAGGCCGCCCCTCAGCAGTCTGTCCAGGGCGGGCAGCGACGTGGGGAAGCAGGAGTGCCGCCTCCACAGCTCCAGAGCCGCGGTGACGGGCGGTGCGACGGCTCCGCTCACCGACCGCAGCAGCTCCGACGCCCTGCGGAAGCTCAGGCCGGCGGCGGTCATCACCTCGACGGCGGTCAGAGACAGCAGGTCCTTACAAGTCTCTATGTGATGTCGCTTCAGCTGCTCGCACATCTCGTCGGAGACGCCGGCTCGCTTCAGTTTTATCGTCGCCATGTTGGCGTGTTTTTTACTGTGTCTACATCAACCGTTTTGAGGCGACAACGACGTAAAACTCGTCTGTCCGTCCTTTTCATCTCTTCTTCTTCTTCTTCTTCTTCTTCTTCTTCTTCTTCTGCTTCTTCTTCTTCTTCACCACATTTGACAACAACAGTCGTCGCACGCTGATGACGTAGCAGGAACGTTCCCGTCGCAGCAGCACACACGTGAGGATATAAACACCAGCGACCAGCTCCTAAAACACGGTCCGTTTATGGCGAATTGTTAAGCAATGGACGCAGTTTTCTAAACAATTTTCTAAAGAAATTAGCCTTATTTAGTGAAATGATTCGAATGATAATGGAAAAACGTGATACATGTATCGTGCGACACAGATGTGCGGTGCGGCAACGCTAGCTGGCAACAACACCTCGCGTTATATTTGACGAACTTATAAAACACGAACGTTAGTTCGATCAGTGCGGGAGGAAATTACTCAAATATTTAAAAAAAATTGCAAAAACGCTTGCATATGTGTGTTTTCTCTCTATTCATATGCAGTATTTCCAAATCATAAATTAGGCTTATTCGTACATCTTCTTAACCGCATCTGCATCTGTTTGCTGCTGAGTGTGGGAGACCCGTGGACAACCTGGAACTACCTCAAACATCCGTCTTTTTGGTTTGAGTAGAGAGCCTGTGAGGTCAGGAGCAGGCTGTGGCGTAGGAAGGCGATCCCTCCTACGGAGCAATCAAAGCCAACTGTTGTTCTCTCCTCAGGTAACATGGGGAAGAATAAACAAAAGGGGAAGAAACAGAAGAACGTCTTCCATGTGGCGAACAAGCACTTGAAGAACAAGAACAAAGCCAAACCGGTGACGACGACGCTCAAACACGTAAGTCTCGCTTTCACAAGGGTGTTTCGTGTCTTTCTTTCTAGCATATACGTTTGATATGTGGCCTCGCAGATCAACGCGGTGAAGAATGACAAAGTGGAGAACCTCAATCAAGTCTTCACAGAAGTCCAGATGGATGTTCGGAGTATTTCCAAGTCCGTCGCTCCCGAAACAAAGAAGCAAGCGAAGGTCAGAGTTTTTTTTTTATCATCCGGCATCGTAATCCTTTTTAAAGTAAGAAGGGTAACGGGTGTATTGTTTGTCTGCAGGTCAGGGAGCCACCAAAGGAATCTGTCAACGTGGACGGTGCCGCTCAACTCTTCTCTCAGCTGTGATGGAGCTTGAATCGCTCATCAACTCGGGGACAAGCCGACTGCACGAGTCTCTGTGTGGGACACGAAACAACAAAGTCAGCGTATACGTCCAATGCATTTTTACATTTTACGTCAAAGACTGCAGATGAGCTCAAAATTAGGAGTTCATGCTCATTGCGTATTAAGAAAAACGTGTGTGTAATTTAAGCATTCTGTGTAAGAAATGTAATTAATTGACTGAGTTGTGCTCACGGTCGATTGTCAAGTTTTAGTAACAAAGGAGGTTTCTTTTTGTTACTAATGCGTATTATTTTATTTTAAATTTTGACAAGTTTGCTTTCATTGGGCTGCAACTAATGACTATTTTCCTTTTTGATTAATCTGCCGATTATGTCCTTGATAAATCGATGACTTGTTTTGAAATGTTATATTTGCCATGATAAAAAAAAACAATAATTTGTTAACTATTGTATAAAATAAAAGACCCGTCGCAATCTTCACACTTAAGCAGATGGAATCAGATAATTTACTTTTTATTGCTAGGAGAATGATAATTTCAGCCAATTAAGTACAAAATACTTGCTAATTCATTTCCTATTTATTGAATTGTTTCATCTCTTTTCTTAACAGTTGACATGAGTGCTCAGTGGTTTCTTCCTCTTCAGTGTGGATGCAATTTAAGACAAACATTTTCAAGAGAATGATACAGCAATAAGCACTTTATTATATCATCTTTGTGTTTTTTTAAGCCCGTTTTTTTCCAAAGCAGTTCAAGCTTCACACCTTTATTTTCATGCTTTTCATACTCTGAATTTCATGTAAATGAAGTCACAAAGGACATCATTGCTGCTGCTGTTTGTAGAGATGAAAGTGTTTGTTTCAAAGCGTTTCCCCTCATTAAAACTTGATGTAGGTGTCTACAAAACCAGAATAAACTGAGAAATTCACAGAACATGCGTTTTTGTTTCAGAGAGGTTTGGATTTGACTCATCTCAATCGGTATATTTTGCTTCGACCCTCAGCATTGAAGCGAGGCTGCTGCTGTGTCCTCAGTGGGATTAGTTTGGATTTAACTCATTTTGAGCTTTTTGTTGCTGGACTGAATCTCGCTGCCAGGTGTTTCTGTTATTCCGTCCACTCTTGCCTGTTACAGCCATCGATTTCACACTCGTTTCTTTTAGAGCCGCGCGTGAAGATGAAGTAAAGATTTTTCGTCTCCGCCTGAAAGCTGCTGCTGAATCCGTGAGCATCTCGGGTCACGTTGCTGAATGCTTGTTGTCATGGCGACCTTTGGGTTGGATGGTCGAGACATTTGGAGCAAGGGGGAAGCACCAACCGCTACGTTGAGCTAGAAGGAGATTCTCAAGGGTCGTGAGACTAAAATTAACATCTGTTACGTTGGAGGTAGATGTTTTGTAATCACACATTCAGGAGCAACAATATCACTTATTTTGATCACTGATGTTTGCGTTCACTTGATTGAAATAAGGTCAGAATATGGTTACTGTGCTTTTGGTCTCAACGTGCTCCTGAGAGAAACATCTGACTAGCAGCTAAATGTTCCACTGCTCACTAACCGTGTCTGCCATAGATCTATAGATATAGATCTATATGGTGCCATTTGATGCTGGAAACAGCTGACCGCTGTGCATGAAGTCAGTGCTGACAGGAAAGCAATACATTGACGCGGTGATCCATAAAACCAGATCAATAAGCTGAAACGTGAGTGAAGCTGAGGCCGGCCGGTTTGTCACCGAGCAAGTCCTTCCACATCAAAAAGGTGTCAGTTTAATCATTTGTTAATATTGAATATCGATTAGAAAGAGCAGCTTGGAAGATGTAAACTGTTTGAAGCAGCTGAAAGCAGAGGCCCCCCCCCCCCCCCCTTCGGCATCAATCAACCCGCCTGAGTTGGAAATGTCCACAAGATGGTGCTCTGGATGGGCTTATCAATATGCATGGTGACAAGCAAGGAAGTGGACCTGTGTGTGTGTCTGTGTGTGCGCGCGCGTGTTGGGCTCCCTGGATGCCAATAAGAAGCTGAAGGCCCATTTGCATTCTGTCATTCCCACCACACAGCTGGATTTCTTCACTCTGACAGGAGTCGCAGCGAGAGGTTGCACCACCTGCGCTTCTCCCTGTGACAGAAACAAGAATCGTTCTGTTTCGCCGTGCAAGAGAGACACACACCGCGTGTGTGCGTGTCTGTTTTCTTACAAAAATGTGCAGACATTTCGGATGGCAGTAATTGTGACATCCCAGACTTCAGTGTGTTTGAAAGCCTCAGTGACACACTCCTCTCTGAACGTCGTTCTATTCAACCTCGTTCTGTTATAAATGTGAATTCCGTAGGTGGCAAGGACACACATTGTCATCTTTAATGCCTTAATGAAGTGTGCTTTTGAAGGATTAATGCTTTTCAGAAGAGAACATTTTCAAAGTAATGCTGGCTTGCCTTAAAAAATAAAATAAAAAGCCAGGTGCAATCATGTTTGTTGAAGGTCAAAATTAAATTATTATTGAGGGATAAACGTGGAAACTTATAGAACAACTCCAATGTGTCACTCTTTAGAATGAGGCAAACATCTGATGAATATGCCTGCGTAGGATTTATGTCATACATCCACATATGAAACAAATCCAGTTGAGCAATATGAAAGAACCCGCGGTTAGGGTTAGTATTCTATTCTTACAAGTTAACATTGATTTCTGGTTAAAAATGCAATCATACCACGTTTATTTTACATGGTTAGACTTCACGAAGTGTGTTTACGGGGCGCAGGTCACCGTTCACTTCGAGTAGGGCGACGTCATCAGTGGCAGTCCGTATTTATTTAGTATGTTATCACTACGAATTTGTATGTTCAAGAATTTCGCATACATTTTTACCAACAGGTTTTGGAGATCAGGCTTGATTTGCTGTTCCTTCCGCTGTCTTCTATGTCCCTAGAAACACAGGACATTTGCCATTCTGCCGTCTTTGCCTCAAGGTCAAAAGATCTCAGCAGACTGCAGGTCCAAGTGTATTTTTTGGGGGAAAAAACTTGTAGTTATCTGGTGTTGAATTTGAGTTGATTTCAGAGGTTTCAAACTGGACTCATTTGGTTGAAAGATAGATTTGTTCAGATGTTTGGCTTTAAAAAAATCAATTCATCTTTACAGTATTTCAACGATCCTTTAACAAACCAAAAGTTCTTCTGGCTTTTCCGTTTTCCAAAATTCATCCCCACCTGCAGGAAACCACCCAAGCAGCTTTTACACTTGAGAGGACGCAGAACACCGAGGGGCTTTTTTCAATGGGACCGCGGCTCGTACACGCACGCAGAACAAGCAGAACGCGGCGCAACCTCAGTGCAACTCGCAGCACGACTCCGGGATCCGAGCAAAACCTCGAGGGTTTTCCATCTGCACGACATTCACGTCCCGGAGGCCAAAAAGCGTGCGGAATGCCTCACCCCCCCCCCCCGCAGAGCATTGCTCTCATATCACTGCCTCCTAAACGGCTTGTGAAGAAACACACGGGTCCTTGTGTGTCACAGATGGGCTGACACGTCGGTTTGCAGACGAGAGGATCTTCTGACACTGTGTGATGCACAGGCGAAGGCACCGAGCTCTCTGTGCTTCTGCCCTTGCTCGGTGTGCGATGGAAGGCAGGTGAGTCTCAGCTTATAGCAGGACACTCCACGCACAACAAAGCCCCGCTGTCCTTTTGTGCTTACTGACCACGTTGTATGCATTTCAGCAGTAATCAAAGCCTTATATTCAAGAGAGCAGCCGAGAGATGGAGCGAAAGGGGAAAATGTGATTCTGAAGCAAAGCCGGGCCGGTTTCAGAGTTGGGGGAGAGCGGCTGTGGAGAGGAAGGGGCGCACGTGATGTGCCTGTTGACGAGAGGACGTCTCAGGGGAGGGGAGGGGAGCCTCTGCGTTGGACGGGCCAGAGACCCATCGGGATCCAGGAAGGCGGACATTTCACAATCCTTCCATTCCAGAAACCTTTTGCGTTTTTTTGGAAAGGAAAATGCCTTAAATGACAGAAACCGGCCCCCACAAATACACAAAAGCCTTTAGCTGCATGAACAACCATCACACCACATCCTCTTCATCAATGTTTCTTTAGCCCCCGGAAGCTCTTCTGGACGAGTCTACTTCTTTTTACGGCACCAGAAGCAGCAGCATTGTTTGTCTGGAAGAAATAGCAGAGGCACCAGGGACGTTTCAACTAACAATAGTTATTCCCGTCCCTTTAAAGGCTTTATGGCTCATAGCTGACATTGAGTGTGCGTTGCTATCGCTGGATGGCGTTGGACGAGCGACATTTTGAAACGGCTCGGTGTCGAGGCCTCTTCAGACTCTGCAGATAAGAGAGGGACATGCGAGAGGACGATGACAGACACCTCGCTCCCGGCGGCGCGCGCTGAGACAACTAAAATGGACGGAGCGCACAGGTTGAGGACAAAGACAAAATGGAGCCGATTAGGACGGGAGGACTATTCAGAAAAAGAGCATATTTGACCAATAACATACATCAGTTCCTACAGATTTAACTATTTAGTGTCAAAGGACGCATCTGAGAGTCCAAAATGAGACAAACGTTCCTTCAATGCAGCTACTTGTCTCTTCTCTTTCCCTATTAGGCTGGAGACATGAAGCGTGCTTACACCAGCTGAAGGACAGCACTTGAACGCATATCACAGACCCCGAAAGTCTCCATCCAAGTGTTTCGTCTTTGTCAGCCGACACTCGTGTGACCCCGGACAGTTTGAGTTTTAAAGCTGGGACCTTTTGGGAGGAAAGAAGGACGGATTGAAGCTTCCAGGAGCGAAAGGTCTGATTAACCAAACAACACCCACACGTTTCAGCTGCGCACTGACTGACAGCAGCGAAACATAACGCTCTGTAATACACGTTCAGATTAAGGGGGAATCGTCGAGTGACAGGCGGGTTCACAAGGATTTGTCTTTAATTTGGGTGCTGTCCTCCGTCCGCTCCGTCAGCTGTGAGGTTTCTACACGCTGGGGAAACGGTGCATTGTGGGAACATTCTGATGCACAGTAAAGTGCATTTAAAGTGAAAGCAGGTTTTGGTTTAGTGTCTCATTACTGTCGTCATCTCCTTCCGTCAGACACGGAATTGAATGTGGACTAAGCAACTGAGACCTTTTGTCTTATTAACCTTCAACGTGACTATCAATTAATTCAAACTGTTACTCCAGATTCATCTTTAACCTGCAGCAGACGGTTATACGGTGCATTCATTTTTATTCTCTACATTACAGCTGACATCCATTCAAAATGAGGTCCGTTTGGCTGCGGGAGGTCGTAAGAAGGTCAAATAAACAGCTCATTCAAAGCATCAGACCTGTGCTGCAGCCTTGTGCTGCACTTGTTTCAGTAAATGTTTCCCCTCATCGAGCGGCACTCGTGTCGCGCTCACACAGATCTCATCACAGGGGGAGAAACTAAAGGTGATGAAGAGCAGAAACTTTTCTGTCCCTTTTTAATACATTTGGAAGTAATTCCTGCTTTCACTTTCACTTGATGTTTCACATTCAATGTGACCTTTAAAATACATTTTAGCACCTTGTTAAATATTGTAACATATTCTCTCCCCGTACAGTTGTGATAAACGTGGATGTTAGTAATGGAGAACGAATGTTTTCGTACCAGTCTGTCCTCGCCAGTAGGATGAATAATTATCCACATTCCATATGGAATTTTGCGAAAGAGGCTTTTTCAGTGTCAGATATTGTTAATCCGTGTGAACAATGTGTGAAACAAGAAGTGAAATTCTCCATTAAATTAAATTCCCCTTTAAAGTCCCTTTGCCAAAAGCGTCAGACGATGGATGGTTATTCATGTCGTAGCAAGAAGTGATGAGGAAATGTTGCTTCTTGCTTCAAACATTTCCCTCAAAGAGGCGACGTTCCCGGGACAATTGTCTGTTGTGCAGAA